AATAAACATGTAAATATCGTTTCTTTTGAACTCTTTAATGACGAAAACTTCGTCTTTTCTGCAGTTCTCAATGTAATGAATGTTATTAAACGTGTCGAGTTTGGATGATGCGATTAACTTCAACAAAAGTTCGACAAAGTTTCTAAATTTTTTTAAAGCTTTCGTAAAATCGAGCACGTTGAAATGCACGAACATAGCAATTCCGAGTGTTACTAAAGATTTTGATCGTGCTTCAGAAATTCTGTCATTCAATTCGGCACAATGCAACCTNTCGAGCAACACGTGATGGGTTGAATCTTTCTCTTAAGATCAGAATTGGAACAAATGTTATTAGAGAATCGTTCTCAATATAGAACGGTAAAAGTATTAAATTCCTATAATGCGTTTATCGTTTTTCACTGTTTCAACTGCTTACTTTCCACCATAAATGCATACAATTTTCAGTTCGGTTAGAATAATTGCTTGTTTATTGAACTTGCTAGATACTTTCTTTAACGAAAATACGAATCACATTGTGACTCTGTAAAAGTTGTACTTCCATCATAATTGTAATGTCCAAACACAAATTATCGATAATATTGTACTGTCGAATCTGTTTCTATATTATGATTGTTAACAACAACGAAAGAATTTGATTGAAAGATGTTTTCTCTATTTTAGAATATTGTAGATCGAAGATTGCGCGTATTATATTATTATATTGCAACGTATAAAAATAGTTAATAATATTGGCCATTTCTTTCTTTCAAATTAGTGTCAAATAAATGTCGAAGTTTTACTGGTAAAAACTGATTAAAAGACATTTATCGAAGAGTCAGACGATCACTCGACGCACAAGACCTCGATTCCAACGTACGGATTGCAGCGAACAATTGCATGATCAGAAGAAATCAGAGCTACGAGGCGTCTCTAATGAGTTTGCACCTTGACGTAAATCAGAATGCTAAATCTCTGTGTGAGTAACTTTCTAAACTAGAGCAATTGGACAATGGCATTACGTTGAAAAAGTTCGTCCCACTGTAACATAAGTCTCTCCATAGATGTGTTCAGAATGCTCTCAGGGTACGTGAAATAAGATCGACGACAAAATCAAACTGAAAATAGTCGAACGAAAATTTCTCGTCGAAAGGTTTAAATGCAAAGCGTAAAAGCGCGTTAGTTTGAACAAATGCGAAATCGTCGAACGTTCGCGGCTCGATTAACACGTTCCGTGCCGAGCTTTTTTTACTCGAATCTTCACACTTTGATATTTTACTAAAACTTGATGTATTACGTGCAATTATATATATTAATTCTCGTACACATAACAACGTAACAAAAACTTATCAACGCCCATTCTTGCGGTGGAAATTGATTCTTCGGTTCTAAATTTCTTGTAAACAATTTGTTCAGTTCACTAAGTAAACATGCAAGCGTGTACCATCGATGGTACCACGGAACGTGTTAATAAACATGTAAATATCGTTTCTTTTGAACTCTTTAATGACGAAAACTTCGTCTTTTCTGCAGTTCTCAATGTAATGAATGTTATTAAACGTGTCGAGTTTGGATGATGCGATTAACTTCAACAAAAGTTCGACAAAGTTTCTAAATTTTTTTAAAGCTTTCGTAAAATCGAGCACGTTGAAATGCACGAACATAGCAATTCCGAGTGTTACTAAAGATTTTGATCGTGCTTCAGAAATTCTGTCATTCAATTCGGCACAATGCAACCTGAATCGTACGTTGAAAATGTAATTAACGGCACGGCTAATTTCTCTCTGACTTGCATTTATCAGTGCATACAAAACTGCATTCGTTTCTTATTAACGCTGGATGCGAAACCATGATTGCGACATATGCACGATGTCGGGTGTCGGGCGTCGCGAAAATTGGGACATAACGAATACGTTACGCTCGGTAATAAACACGTCAAGTGCTGCCATTAATAGCATTGGAATTTTATTTTCTGTTCGAACATGTTCAAACGGAATCTTTTTATACCGCCTGTAAGCGTACATCTCTACTTATATTTAGCTATGCCAGCATCATCTGTTAATAAACTACTACGAAATATGAATATTATTCGCTTCTTCTGTATCGAAACAAATTGGTCTGTTCTGAAAATCTACGAATGAACGTTAATTGCGTAGACACATATGCAATAAATAAATATTGTTCCTTTCTACCAGATAAATTATTAAACGCAAAGAAGTCTAGCCAACAAGTCTAGCCAAGTAGGGGCGAGTGCAACATTGTAAATAATTTTCAATCTGCCACAGCTGCCATCGCAAATTTTGGATATATTAAAATTATATATTATTAAATTTTATATATATATTAAATTTTTTTCATTGAATTTTCGTTATTTTAATCGTATAGATATGCAATTGACGTATGTACGAACCGAAATGGCTTTTTGATAGCCTAAAGTAACGTTTTCTTAAAGGCTTAAAATTAAGAATCTTCAACTTGGTCTTTTTATAAAACTGATCGCCATTTAACGCTCTTAAGTACTTAGCGAAAATTTGTAATCTTAATCCATAATCTGACATTTGTGAAAGACAGCAAAATATGAAGAAAACCAGGGAAGAAAAAGAAACAGAAACCTGTCAAAACAAGAAAAAAAAGAATATTTTCATTGATTTCTACCGAATGGACGCAATTATTTCAGTTTCTGTTGCAATTCAGTTAAACGAATGGTTTCATTTCAAACCGATCTTTTGTGTTACTGTCGACGTAAAATTTTGGCATAAATTTCGCGCAGTCCGAATGGTCGTTTTAGATCCCGTTCATCACTGTAAGAGACAGAGGCTTCCCTCTGCCAACAGTCCAACAGCTTCTAGCCACATGTCCAAGCAGAACTGATCATTGCGATCCTCGGGAGGAGTTTCTTTGGCGAGCACCGAGGTCTGTTTTACGGCGGCTATTATCGTAAAGTGAACTGTTCGCGTCGGTGAGCCTGAACGATAACATCAATGGCAGACTGCTCTACCGTCGGTTGCTCCGCGAGCCGACACCACCACCACCGCTCGTTCTCATATTTAATAAATGCCCGGTGGTGTAGCAGGAAACACTTCAGCTTCGAATCCGCGGAAAGCGCCCCGCCGACAGAAGCCGCGCGAGACCTGTAGAAACATCCGTGAGACCTACGTGAGAAAAATATGAATCTTTCTGAGAGTTCTACGAGGTGTCTCGATCGCCGATTGAGAGAACGCTTTTTTTCTTCCTCCCCCGTTTGTCTCCGCGTTGAAGAGCGCCACGAGGAGGACCGGTCGCGCTCCAACGGGGATCGTCTGGATCGAGAACGTATCTTAAAAGGAACACGCATCCTGGATGCGGCAACTACCTTCGAGAGGGCTGTGTACACATTGTAGAAAAACGACGAGGCGATAGAAAACTATCAGGCAGGCCCGAACAGCTTTGAGGATAGTGAAGAAGCGTTATTTTCCGTTTTCTCTGTTGCCTGGGGACTCGGGGTGTTTTTTTCGCACGGGATTTTCTTTCTTTCTGGGACATCGTTGGGGGTCTGAGAGTTAGTTTTGGATCTGGTTGGATCTGGTATTGGGGGTTGTTCGACGTTATTTCTTGCTTTCCTTCATTCTTCTTTTTTTTTCGTGATTTTTCGTTTTCCTTTTGAAAATCGGGACGAGACAAACACACGGTACGATTACAGCATGACTCGACCAACGGGAAGGCACTTGGGCAAATTACGTGCCGAGTTGGCCGTTGTATCTAGCGCGCAGGACGCACCGCCACCCCCGCGTTAATATCTCTAACCTGCGCCTGCGCCACTACAAACGACAGATCGTTTAAAAGTATTTTCTTTTTTCTCTCCTCGTTTACCTCTTGCGTACAAGATCTTTAACTTTCTTCTTTCTACTTGCTTAATCCTATGATATGTTCGCATTCGTTATGTATATGTATAAGATTATATTACGTAGTACTCTCGATCTCACAGGCACACACACATACTTTTTCTCTCTATCTCTGTCTCTCTCTCTCTCCCTTTCTTTCAATCTCTCTCTTTCTTTCCATCTCTCTCTTTCTCTCTCTCTCTCTCTCTCTCTCTCTCTCACACACACACACTCTCTCTCTCTTGTTATTTTTCTCCTGTTCTGTTTTAGACAGCATTTTCGCACGCACACACGCGTTCCGCACACGCTCAAGTCTACCTGGCATTCGACTCTTTCTCGTCTAGGATTACTTTAAACTCTCCTTAACAAGATACATAATTAAATGTATATGCTCGCGTTTTGCGACGCGCCAATCATAAAACATAAATACACGCTTCTTAGGGCACCTTTGGTATTAAGCTTGATGTATTCGTTTTCGTCTCTTTTCACGTCTATATTATGCAATTTTGTTCACGAGCAGCCCGCGACCGTCTTTGCCCGGTCCTTCCGCGTCCCGTGATCCCGCGCGCGGCCGTCCAATTAGTCCCGGAATTGATAAGCGTGATCCCCGCGATTTCCCTAGGGCTTCGGTAGCCAGGAAATCGAGACGCCGCAACGATAAGATCCTCGCGGCTTTTTGAAACAAATTCTAGCTTTCATCGCGATAGAATCGCTTTAACCATTTGGGATTCGCTTCGAGCCGTAGTGTAAGTTCTAATTCTCTCCGTCCAGAGTATGATTTTCTTGCGCAACTACTTCTGCTTTACAAATATCCAAGGCTCGGGTGTCTCTTTGCGTGGCATTTCTTTTTTAATATTACGAACCTGGATTGTCGCGTTAACGAAGAATAGCTGGAACATCTCGGACGAACATAAAATGACAAAATTGTTGCGGTATAATTTAACGTTTTTGCCGTGATTATCGACACGACAATGTGCTATTGCGTTGCCTTGTGTAACACTTGATTTACGGAACCCGTCAAAATGACGGGTCGCTAATTTTTTAATTTACGATTATTCATATCGCAAAGACACATTTATGAGTTATTTATTCCATTTATGTGTTACTTACGGCAAATGTTACAACAACACTTGTTAAAAATCAGAACGAATGTCTTATTGTTACTTTTATAAACCAATATGAAACAGCTGTTTTTTGTGCCCCGTAAATTTAGTGTTAAAAATCTTTCTTTCAGGAAATGTTTTCATTTCCTAGTCCGTAATGGGAGATTCAATGTTATATTCAATTTCGCGTTTCTACACTTTCAAAAGTATTCTAATTTCACATATGAGATCTAACAAATGTTAGATTCCTTGTTAGATGTACCGTCGGCAACCTACACATTTCAATTAAACTTGCGTTAGAACACTTTCCACGCGCACGGAATAAAAATTTCGCTTCTAATGCAATGCCGACGTGATTCCAGCTTCCAAAGGTTAAAGCGACTGTATTTTGCGAGAAACGATTTCGATTTTCGAGTTTCAACATTCCAACAATCTTCCTGCTTCCAAGGTGCACGGTCACGCTCAACGAATCGATTTCCTTCTCCAAGACGTTCCTTCAACCCCTTGCACTACGATTCAATAATTTCCTTGATAGAACGACACAATTTTTGCTTTTTCTTTTCATCCATGATTAGATTTTGATAACAGGAGAATCTCGTTTCGATTTCGAAGAATTGAATAAACGTTCGTATTTTCGTAGATCACGTATGACACAATCATAACGAGTCCGACTCGTTACAGTGCAAGGGGTTAAACAAAAGACGACCTTCCGCCGAGATTTATACTCGACCGAAGGTGTTCTGATCGTTCGCAACAATTGACTCCGTTACTATTTCGATTGATTGATTGATAATCCGTGGCAGGACGGCGCGGGGCTCGCTCTTAAAAAAAAGAAGAATCTCGCGTCTGTGAAGTGTGGACTTACGTGTGTGTGAACAAGTGTTACGTGAGCGTGTGACTTGAAGAGTGCCTTCCTTTCCTTCGTTCGGATGTGTTTTTAGAATACGCGGTCATAGAAAACGAAATAACGATGGGCCGGTTTTGTTCTCGATTCGAGGAACTCGGGCCCACCCCCCGCGTGCTCTAATCCCCCTCCACACCCGTTCTACTGGCCGCGTTCTCCTTTCTTCAGCCAACGTTCTTCGTCGTCGTCGTCGATCTCAATCAAAGACTCGGTGGAAAATAAATAGAGAAGGTAATACACGGCTACGAATCGATAAGTTAAGTCGTTAAAAAATATATATACCTAGGAATATTATTATACGCGATTATTTGGGCCCCCGCGAGTCGCGAATGTAACGCCGTATGCGCCGCAGAATTTACAGAATTTGCCTACTGGTGCTTGCCGGGGCGCAAGGGCTCCCCCTCGCCGCCCCTCCTTATAATTCGTCGTAATTTTTTTTTTGCCATTTTTCCCGCCCTTCTCCCGCCCTTTCTCCGTCTTTGTTCACGTTTCGCCGCGTTCATGCGCCCCCACCCCTCCTACAGCCTCTCGTACGTGTTGGTTCTCCGAGGTCGGAGCGACCGATGATGCCAAATGCGCGTCAACTTCGGCGGTCCTCCTGATATTTCTAGGGATTTTCGTTACCATGGCGCAGATGAACGATCCAAATTTCGGTTGACTTGTTTGCCGTTTGCGTTTCGATTATCCCGAGGGGTGTAAGCACGCTTGAACACGGTCCTTTGCTTCCCTTACATGCCGTTGATGTCGATCTTAAGGTTGCCCGTTTTCTTCTCTCTTTGATCCCTGGAAAAACGAAGGGAACGATTAATCAGTTTCGCAGAAGAGATGCACAGCGACCTCGACGTCGCTGATTGTCGGTGTTACGGTGATCTCTCTGACTCGATTCGAGAACCCTTTTCAGATCGGGAGACCGCTCGGTGAAACGTTCGCTTTCGTACGCGACAAGGTTTCTTGGCGGCATCTGTCAGTGTTTCTTTTTTTCTTTTTTTCTTTTTTGCTACATTACGCTCGATTTCATAGAGAATAGATAATTGGAATTTTTAATGTAGAGTTGAAGCGATTGCAACTAAAACAGACGGCTAAAGTAGGAGCATCTTAGGAGAAGAGTTTCTACGAGCAGCGATGGTCGAAATCAAGTTGAAAATTCTTTGTGCCTGTCATTGTTCCCTGGGAAAAATTCTTAGGAATAAAGAAGGATGATAGTATGCTGAACGATCGTATTTACGTTACGTATAATATGTAAATCAAATTTTTAGTTGCTGCATGTAAACTGTGTGCAAACAGATTTCTTATACAAAATAATTATAGAACACAGTTCCCGTCGTATATTCGTCGACATTTCTATCTGTCATTTGGAATGAAAAACGTTTTTTTGAGAGCTCAGTTTACTCTCAGTTTAATCTATTAAATCAAACTAACGGCGAACTCCTATCGAATCACATATAAAAATAGATCATTGTAAAGAATTTATTACAAAAGTGTATTTCAATGATTTACTCAACAACTTTTACTATATATTTAAATATAATTCAATATTTTGGTCTAACTGTCCCGGATTCTTTGATTATTATGCTATAGTTTAGAACGAGTCTAAATAATAAAGTGTATCAAATTAATTTGATTATTTCTATCAGACCTGCGCACATTTCAAATGGCATCATATGAGAGACTATTTCAAGCAACGTATTATTTTAATTTATTATTATTTAATTATATTAATTAATATTATGTTAATTATATTTATTATAAATTATATATATTATATTAATTAATTAACATATGATAATCATAATTATCATATATTTTATGCTTGCGATCTCTTTTGAAATAAAAATTATTTTTAATATTATTTTGAATAACATGTTTCTTTATTTTATAATTAGTTGAAATTATTATTCGAGCCCAAAATCTCATAAGATCGAACTGAAATAAAATCTTTTTGTTACATATTACTTCAAACATTATATCTTTATATTTTTTTCAAGCACTATATCTTTCGCGGATTATTTATTTTATCATATCGGAAATAATAAGATAATCAAATAAATCAATGCTTGAAATTTCTATTATTTCAAATGGATCATTTCGAAATAAATTATTTCAAATAATTATTTCTTATTTTCCCTTCGAGTAAAATTTGCCCAGGTCTGACTTCTGTAATAAACAATAAGATCGTGGATGTGTCACGTACGTCACATGCGCGATGATGGTAGGCAACGTGTTAATTTTACAAACATTCTCATCGATCGATCGTGAAATTGGTTATCACGGATTATCATCAAATTGCAATCGTTCCACGGATGATCATATTTATTCCAATAACGACGTTCTCAAATTTCTTTCGACCATCTCTGTGATTTTCGAGCATCGAAGGAAAACCAAGCGTAAGTGAAAACAGAGAAAATTAATATTTCCACGGTAAAAATGTCTCGAGTTTGTTTCCAATGACGACGGCCTGAACTGAATGTACATATCGGCTTTCGTTCACCGTGAAATCGAAACGGATGAACGACGTATGAAAGGAGCGTTCGATCGCTCATCGCGCCTCGTTTGTCTCCATTCCATCAATTTCACGGGGTTTTGTTCGCGATACCTCTGATTTACAATCCCGAGGAAAACTGTCTAGTAGAGAGTTGTCAGCGCCGAGGATTATCGCGGATCGCGAATGAAAGCAATCCCCTGTCATCGAATCGACCGATTCTATAACTTTTTGGATTCCTTTATATTTGCACGCGCATACAGGGTGTTTCAGAACACAGGAGTGGCGAACTAACGTATTATACGTATATAGTATGTAAATAAATGCAGTGGCCAGCAAAAGCATTCGTACACAAGAACAATGTATGTCCAATTTAATAATTTTATTTCAATCATTTAACACGCGATTACGGTGAGATTTGTTAACATGAACACTTGCAACTGCCACGTCACTCGTATGTGTTTCAGGCTAGTAACGTAAATTATCTTCCGAATTTGATTAGGATCCGTGAAATGTACCGAACGTTGAGAAAGTAATTGACGTGAAATAACTTTTCCAATTTCAATTTAATTAAAGAAAGTACTTCAACTTAATATAATACTGTACAAAAATGCTTATTTCTTTTTTGAGATTGTAGACGTGGCAGTCAAAGTGTTAACCGTCAAAATAATAATCAGGTGTACCTACGACAAAATCTCACCAAAAGACCAACGAAAATGAAATTAAAACTGAAACGCGATGACTTCTCTGTGAACGAACACTTTCGTGGATATACGATAAACGAAATGAAACGTAAAATAAGATGCGTTTGAATCGTACAGGGTGTTTTACATTACATGGATAAATAATGCATACGTACAGTGGCATGCAAAAGTTTCCGGCCAGATAGATTTTTCACTTTGTATTTCAAAAGCAATATCAACAGTCACTCACGAAAGGTTCCTTCTGGTAAAAATAAAACAGAAACACCATTAACACATTACCTAACGACGATTATTTAACAGTTTTTAAAAGTCTACGATTCAGAACTAAAGATTTCTGAAACGATTGCAGTAGCAATTTCATATTGTATAGCCACTGAAATGCCTATCGATATGTTTCTGATAGGTAAAGTGTTAATAATTATTGGTACAAGAGTGTTCTCTTGCGTTTTAGAAATTTTGTAGCACAAACTGTACAATAAATTAAATATTATTGTATAGAAAGTATTCAACATGTAAGAATACACGAAAGATATCTCGATTGTTCGAAACTATATTTCTTATTTGTGACTTTTTGGGTAAGATACATTTCAAGTGAAAATAACCTTGACATTAAATTTTAGACTAAAAAACATAAGAGTGTAAAATACGAAATGATCGCTGATTTTGTAACACGTTTAGCAACACATTACCTGTTTGAAACTTATTAATAGTTTTCTAAATGACTATGTTACATCAAAAAAATGTTTGAAAATTTTTCTTTGAACAACAATTTCAAATGAATTGTTTCAATTTTCGTCAGTATTCATTATTTTAGCCTAACCGTTTTACTGTTGTATTATGAAACCTTTTGTAAGGAGTTCTCATTATTACGTCTATTTTTATATACAAATTCTCTTATTATTAATAACGCAACTACGTTGAAACTCAATATAATAGAGTTTTTGTATATAAGTATTATAAGTCAAATAAAGTTTAATAGTAGAAAAGAATGTGTTATACTTAAATATACTTTTAATACAATATATATTTAAATATAAACTTAACACAATATATACATATATTTAAATATATATGTAATATGAACTTTTCGAAAACGTGATATATATTTAAATATAAATGTAATTCTACTTAAGAATTTATTTAAGAAAATAGG